GGAGCATGGAATTGATCTACTCGTTTGGGGGAAAGAAACGAGAAAAAAAAAATGACCAATTAGATTGACCTACCCGCAGTGCGCGAGATAGATTGCTGGCCGCATATATCGCACCAAATAGCTTGCGCAGAATAGAAGGCGCAACAAATATCGATCCACGTAGATTCCCCTTTCTTAAGCAATATGTGATACCACCCTCCCCCCCCTGGGTTAAAATTGACTTCTTCGCATTGCGAGTTACATGCGATTCTGCCCCATCGCCCATCCTTACTGCGAAATCAGACTATCCAAACCAAACTGGCATCGCCACCACCCCGCCACCCCCTGCTACCAAAAAAATGCGCGCGAACCCATTCACCACGAATCACAAGTTTTCAAGAACCCCCTCAACCAAAAAAAAGAGAGAGACGAGACGCACGCGCGCGCGTCGTCGCGCGCGCACGCCGAACTCAATCAAAACCTTCGGTTTTGGAAAGATTCCAAAACCGAGTGCCAAACAAATGTTAACAAAAGGTTCCGCAACACTGATTTGCAACAAAAAAAACGAGCGTTCTTGCAAATTCTTGACAAATCCATGTGCGTTTCCAGATTTTCAGAAAATGCAACCAAACGGGCTTCGCGCGCGCGCACGTCGAAATCGCTCGAACGCCCCTGCGCGCACGCCGTCGCGAGAATCTCCTGCAAACAATGGGGCGAAAAGCACGCGCGCGCGCCGTCGCGCGCGCATGCCGGAATCCTTCAAAAACTCTCGGTTTCGGGAAAAATCTAAACATCGAAAGCGCCCACTTTTTTAATCGAAAAAGGGGTTCGCAACACGGATGTTCAACAAAAGCATGCGCGCGCTCCTGCGAATTCTGAAGAAAACCAGAAGTTGTTTCACAATGTCATAAACTGCTCGCGCGCGCATGTCGAAATCGCCCGAACGCCCTTGCGCGCGTGATGCGTGCTGGGGTGTACGATCCGTGTCAAACTAATACCCTGCGAGCCACTCTCGCGCGTCTGCCGCGCGCGCCTTTCGAATTCCTTCCAAAAACTTCATCTCCGACACGAAGACGCCGTCACCGTCGCCGGCGTGATCAGCATCGGCGCATTCACTGGCTGCCCCGTCGTCGCTGTCAGCATCGCCACCAGCATCGCTACTATCATCGTCGCGTCTACCGCTGTCGACGTTGCCATGACACCGCGCCCGCCCAAGTCGCCGACTCGCACTGAAGTGCCCAATAGGATGTGCCGAGCGGTCACCGCCACCGCGCTCGCGTCAGTCGCGCCAAACAAGCTGGCCCCTGCGCGCGCGCGAGCACGCGCGGGCTAGCGCGTCGCAGAGATGCACCAGCCAACACCCAGCACTCATCGCAATCGCACTCGCATGGGCTTTGCAAACCAAAGCACGGGCGGGAGGGTAGGATGATTGCGCGAGCAGTGGGGTTGACAACTTCAAGTTCGGCAAGTGAAGTATCCTCATAGATGTATATATTTATATGTTCACATACATATACATCTATATAGATGTGTGTAGATAAAAATACATAAAATTAGAATGCTTCATCTGATCAAAACTGATACTGCTATATATATATGTATATGTATATATATGTAGATATATATATATGTGAGTGTATGTATGTATATAACTTCTCAGAAAAGAAAGAAAACTGCCAGCCCACCCCCCACCCCAGACCTGACGATCCACCTTCTCGTATTGCAATTTACATCCGATTCTGCCCCATCGTCCATCCGATGTGTGTATTTGCACTGTCCCAAAGGAACAGGGAGAAACCGGCATCGCCCTCCCCACCGCCATCCTCTGCCAAAAAAATTGCGCGCACTCTCGTTTATCAACTTGCCAAAAAGAGGAATCGAAGAGCACACGCGCGCGTCGTCGCGCGCGCGCCAAAATCCTTCAAACACCATCAAGGTCGGAAGGATTTCGAAATCGAGTGTCAACCAAAAAAAGTTTTCGCAACACTGCTGTTCGAACAAAAAATTACGCGCGCTCTTGCGAATTCTTCAGAAAAACATAAGTCTTTCAAGATTTTCCCTAACAACAATACTACCCAGCGGACTTCGCGCGCGCATGTCGAAATCGTTCGAACACCCTTGCGCGCGTGCCGTCGCGAGCATCCTCTGCAAACAAAAAAACGAAGTGCACGCGCGCGCGTCGTCGCGCGCGCATGCCGGAATCCTTCAAAACCGTCGGTTTGGCAAGGGTTTCGAAGTCGTGTGCTCAAAAAACATACAAAACCCAAAGGGTTTCGCAACAGGATTTTTCAACAAAAGCGTGCGCGCGCGCTCTTGCGTCGTCGTCGTCGTTGTCGTCGTCGTCCCCCCTCCTCACTCGTCGTCGTCGTCGCCGACGTCTTCCTCTGTATTTCCTCGTCGTCGTCGTCGTCCTCATTGGCGTCGTCGTCGTTTCCGTCGTTGTTGTCGCCGTGGTCGTCCTTCCTCCTCCCTCGTCGTCGTCGTCGTCGTCCGTCGTCGGCGTCTCGTCGTCGTCCCTCCTATTTCGTCGCCGTCGTCGTCGTCGTCTTCTCTCCTTCCTCGTCGTTGTCGTCGTCGGCGTCGCCGTCCTCCCTCCTTCTTCGTCGTTCGCGTCGTCGCCGTCCTCCTTTCTCCCTCGTCGTTGTCGTCGTTGCCGTCGTCGTCGACCTCCGTCTTCCCTCGTCGTCGTCGTTTTCGTTGGCGTCGTCGTCGTCGTCGTCTTCGTCGTCGTCGGCGTCGTCGTCGTCGTCGGCGTCGTCGTCGTCGTCGGCGTCGTCGTCGGCGTCGGCGTCGTCGTCGTCGGCGTCGCCATCATCGTCGTCGTCGGCGTCGGCGTCGTCGTCGTCGTCGGTGTCGTCGTCGTTGTCGTCGTCGTTGCCGTTATCGTCGTCGTCGAAGTCGTTGGAGACGTCGTCGGCGTCGTCGTAGTCGTCGTCGTCGTCGGCGTCGTCGTCGTTGTCGCTGTCGTCGTCGGTGTCGCTGCCAAATGCAACTTGGTACCTACCGTCACGGTCTTAAGCAGTCTTGCGACCAAGTTGCGGTTGGGAGGGTGAGATATTTGCACGAGCAGGGGAGAAGACAACTTCAAGTTGAGCATGTGATTGATCGCACCACGTCGATTATTCACGCATGTTGCCCAGCATGTTGCTAGAATCCGATTGTTGGGGGTCCACGGAAGCTAACAATTAATCACTTGCCTTAGGTTTGGGTTATGTGTACGCCGCCCCCTTTGTTACTCGCTGGATTTCAAGATGGCCCGAAACTGCCCGAAAAGCTCGCAAGAAAGCCCCAACAAGGGCCCCAAAAGGCCCCAAAGAGCCCCTTTCAAGAGGGCCCACGAGGCCTTCAAGAGGCAGCAACAGCTCCCACAAGACACCGAAGACGCTCCAAGAAGCCCCCCAAGAGTCGGCAAAAAGCTTCCACACGCCCCCAAGACGCCCCAAGGGGCCTCTAAAAGGGCCCCTAGAAACACCAAAGAGGCCAGGGGGCGCCTCCAAGGGCTCGATGGCCCACTGAGGCCCCCCGAAATATCATGGTGATGACACGCTCCCCCGATAAGAGCAACTCAGCATCGTTCCTGGATGGGCTGGTGGGATACTTGTTGGTTCGCGGGCGCACGAAACGAGTCGAACGCCAAGCGCGCAGAGCGGGCCGTGCCCGTAGCGAAGTTAAAAGCAAAACAAGAGGCAGAGCGCGAAAGAGTACAGCAGTACCAACCAGCCGGCAGTCAGCTGCCGTGGAGCGCGCCGACGGCGAGGAGCACGTGAGCACGGCCGCAACCCTATCGAACAAGAAGCACTTGAAGCGCCCCGAGAGCACGTAGAGGACGACGGAGGACAGAGGAGGCGAATGGAGGTGGACCGCCGCGCCGAGCGAGGACATCGCTGAGCCAACGTAGAAGACGCAGCCAAAACGGCGCGGAGAAGGCCCACAGGTGGCCGTAGTGCAAACTGTGGTGTCGCGCAGGTGGACCCCCGTGAAGCAGCACAGACGGCGAACCCCAGGGTAAGCGGACAACGAGCGGGAAGGATGCAACCACGCCTGGCGGCAACAGTCATCCAAGTAGCCGTGGCCAGCGCATCCTGGAGCCAAGGAACAGCCTTGCCGTGCTGGTAGAACTTCAGTTGGCCGTCAAGGCTGGTGAGATACGCGAAGCGGTAAGCACAAGCCGCGTGAGCACGAGCACGAGCACGACCGCATATGGGCACCGTCTAGGGTGCTGCGGGTGCGGCGCCGGAGCGCCAAAGTGTCGGAAAATTAGGCCCGATCAGAAGTCCGAGTCGACCTTGTTCCAAAAATTCCTTTGTGGCAACTTCCAATATCTCTTGCCCTTGAGGCTGGAGATATTGGAAGACGTGCAGACGAGGGGTGTTCCGTGTGGCGGCCTCGCGGGCGGTGCTCGAGAGGTCGACATGCGGCGTGCCTCGCGGGCACATTGGCAGGCGTTGCGCCTGCACCCGGGTTGTTGATCGCCGTCGGATCCCGATGGCCTCTAATTAAGCGATTGTTGGCTACGGGGGTCTGGATCCTCCAAGACAAGCCAGTTCAGACCTCCCCCGTGGGAGAACCCTCCAAAACATCGTCCCCAGACCCCCACAGGCCCTCCAAGATAGCCTGGAAGAGACCCCCCCGAAATGAGACCCCCCTCCCTTTATTACAAAATCTGGAGTATGCCTTCAATTGCTCAAGATGGCCGCGGGATTGCTTGGGATGGCCCCGAGACGACCCCAGAGTGGTCTAACAGCTCCCACAGGGGAGCCCAAAAGCGTCCCTATTGTCTAAGGGGACCTCCAGAGAGGCCGAATGATGGCTGAAGAGCCCGCCAAGAGGGCCCATGATGGCCCCTCTGTCTGTTTCCTTTCCCAGGGATTCTCCTCCATACCCTCCCTTCTCCTCACTTTCACCATCCTCCTCGCACCCCTCCTCGCTCCCCTGCTCCTTCTCATCTTCCACTGCCTACTCCTCCTCCTCCTCCTCTTCTTCCTCGTCCTCCTCTTCTGACATTCTTTATGTTCCTCAATCAAACGCCTGGAAGGGTCAATCGCAATCTGAACATATCAGCGGGGCTGGCGGACAAGGCGTCAGCCGAACGAAACACGCTTGATTTGCAAATGATGCGCGATCATAGTTGCGTGCAATGCCTTTTTTTTTCGGAGGCGAAGATATCTGAAGCCTGGGGTGAAAGCCAAGCAGCAGAGCGCGAGAAGAAACAGAGCGGCGCGCCTCGAAAAGGGGCAGCGGGAACCGCTGCGTCGTGAGGCTGCCGCGGGGAGAGTGTGGTTTCTTATAGGCGCGGATGTGCACAGGCAAGGTCCTGGCCATCGCTCGGACGTCCATCCCCTGTGTTTTATTCGGCTTCGTGCGTGGTTCTTTCGCCAAATGATCAAGGATGCTTCTCGATGGCCCTCGCCGAAGGAAACATGCACACGTCCGAGCGATGCCAAAAGAAAATCAATTCACAATCGGTCGGCTCCACCACCGGCTACACTCTCGGGCCCCCCCGCCGCCAGGGCCGGGCGGGCGGGCCGAGCTCGGAACCCGTCGGGTCCGCCGAAGGGGCGGAAAGGCCCGGAGCGAACTAGTACGTAGCTGTCCGGGAGACCAGAGCTCGAGGGCCGGGCAGACAGCGAACGCCTCGGGCGCCCCCCAGCCCCTCTCCTCGCCGCGACCGACCAGGCGGGTCGAGCGTGGCGGCCCGCAGCGCCCTCACGAGACGCCGAAGCGGGTGTCGGGCTGAGCCACCCACACCCTGGAGCCACTGCTCCACGATTGCCACTGGGCCGCCCCGCCCAGCGGGAGGTCGCCGGGGCCCACCGGGCCGGAGCACAGCAGCCCCTTCGTCAGGCCGCTGGCCACGAACTCCTTGTCGCCGACCCACCAGCAGCCGTCCGCCCCCAGGTAGACCCAGCGCTCCTGGTTGATCTGGTGCATGAAGCGGGGCGGGCCATCCTCCTCGCCCTCCTCGGCGATGTAGTCGTACAGGCCGTCGTAGACCAGGTCCTCCGGCGAGCCGGTCAGGGACATCACTGGTTCCGCGGCGGCCTTGAGACGGCGCGCAGAAGCGGAGCGCAGGGGAGGGGGGGGAGGGGGCGCGGCCCATCTCACAGCAGGGCAGGGGGCCCCCTGAGCAGCCACCGATCCCCTCTGAGAGGCCCACCCCGAATGGCGGCACCACACACACACACACACACACACACACACACACACACACACACACACGCACACGCACACGCACACGCACTCGCACGCACGCACGCACGCCACACACACACAAACCCTCGCCACACACCCTTCCCCCCCACCCCACCCAAACCCACCCACCCACCCACCCACCCACCCACCCACCCACCCACACACACACACACGAACATTCACACACACACACACACACACTCGCGCACACACACGCACACACACACACACACCTCCTGGGAAGGCCACCCCCCTCGTGACACATTCACACACACACACACACTCGCCACACACACACACACACACACACACACACACACACACACACACGCACACCTTTATCTGCGCACCGCAAAGGCCTGCTCCCGCGCAGCGCGCCAGGCCGCCGCCACGGCCTGCGAGGTGCAGAAGCGGAGGGCGGGGGCGCGCGACCACTCCTGCGGCCCCCTCTCGAGCCAGGCGACGCAGGGGTCGTCGGGCAGCGTGCCCGGCTCCACGGACTGGAGGCTGCGGACGCTGCCCTCCTTGAGCCTGGCAGGGGCGAGCGCCGTGCACGTGTGCGCGCAGCTCCTGTCCAGGCTCCTGCTGGGCCCCGGATCGGTGCCTGGGCCCTTGCTGGCGTGGCCAGGGGCGCGTGCGCACGGGCCCAGGGCCCCGAGCCTGGCCAGGACAGGTGCGCGTGCATGGCTCTCGTCGCCCGGAGCCTGCCACCCTCCCCCGAGGTGCCGAGCCACCAGTGCCCGTCCTCCCCCACGAATAGCACCGTGCCATCGTCCTTGCTGCGCCGGTACACCGGGGGGTGGCCGCTCTCGCCCGCCTCCGGGGCGAAGGCCCCGAAGAGCTCGGAGCTGCCCCACAGCTCCAGCGGGCCCGTCTTGCGGGCCGCCTCCGCCCAGCAGTCGCAGGCGCGCAGCCCGTCGACCCGCTGGATCCGCACTGGTCGGTTCACCCAGGCGTTGTCCACGGAGACGGCGAAGGTCGTATCGGCTGTGGGGACTTCGCCGGGCTGGATGGGCGACGAGGTGTGCCCGATGCCGTGGGGGGCCCTGCTGTTCTTGTCGCTGGTGCTGCCGATCCACCATCGCTGGTCCGTGCCGAGGAACATCCACACGTTGCGCAGCCTCTGGTGCTGGAAGACTGGGGGCTCGCCCTTGCTGCTCTGCGCAGGCACGAAGTCGAACAGGCCGTCGGCAAAGTGCTCGCTCACGCCCGTCACCCTGATGACCGGGCCGTTGCCCAGGTCGACCCTGGCCTTCTGCCACTGCAGCCGCACCGTCTCTGTCAGCCAGAACTTCATGGTCTCCTTCGGCACAAAGTCCGCGCCAACCAAGACCTCCCAGCCCGGTCCCGTCATGTGCGGGAGCACGCCGGGCTCGACCGACATGGCGCTGCGGAGGTACCCCTTCTGCTGCTTCTGCTCCCGAGCCTCCTTGGACTCCAGGTTGCCCAGGAGCCAGGAGCCCTTCATCGAAACGTACAGGTACTTGTCGGGGTCCGTCGCGCTCTGGTAGGTCGCTGGCCCCGTGCGCTTCTGCTCGTCCGCGGGAGGCACGTAGCTGTAGACGCCACTGACGTGCTTGTCCCCGCTGCCCCACGCCTCGATGCGGGGGGCCTTCCTCGCGACGCCGTGGGCGAACTGCCACTTCTGCGCGGCGGTGGACTTCGCGGGCCGCGACTTGAGCTCGTTGGCCACGCCCTGGACAGCGGCCTCCAGCTCCTCGAGCTCCCGCAGCATGTCCCGCTGCGACTGCAGCCTGCTGGGGAAACCAAAAGGTACCGATACCGCCAGCCCCTGGATCGCTCCCAGGGTGCGCTCTGACCAGGATTTCGAGACGAATCCAGCGGTGGCGACGAGGGCCTCCCAGGAGGCTCACAAAGGGGAAAGTGGGCGAAGGGGTAGAGATATGGTTGTGGATGCCATGACAATGGACACCCCAACAATCCGATCATTGAGTCAAAGATGTGCTTGAGATGTTTGACAAGTGCCCTCAAAATGTTTGAATCGTGTCTTTTGCATGTTCGAAACAATTTTGACACATGCTCTAAACATCTGGAGAATATTTGGCTACATGCTTCCTCTCCGTTGATCGTCCTCCACAAACAGAGGTCGGGCCGGGCGAAAAGGGGGGATAGCAAAGGGGGGGGGAAATCAGCTCACGTAGCTGATTTTCCCAGCGCCTCCCGGCGCCGGGAGGCGCCCATGTATGGAGGAATGGACCCGGCGGCGGGGCCGAAACCAGCTGCGTGCAGAATATTTCGTGACCCCCCTTTTCCCTATCCCCCCCTTTCGTTCGGACCGAAAAGGGGAAAACGGGCGAAGGGCAGCTGGAGTGGAGCCTTGGGTGGAGCGCCCTCTGAGTGGAGCCTTGGGTGGAGCGCCCTCTGAGGCCACGCAACGTGTGAGGCGTGTTGTGGCGATGCTGGTGATGACGGCGCCGACCATGATGACGGTGATGATGACGGCGGTGATGATGATGATGATGATGATCATCATGATGATGTTGATGATGATGACGATGATGATGATGATGCTGGTGATGATGATGATGATGATGACAGACAAACAGACAGAAGCCATAAACCAACGTCGTGCGGCAAAACACAAAAGAAAAAACGAAAACAACTGGCAAACACATCAGAGTGCGAGAATATTATCTCGGCACTTGCGGGCCCTGTACTGGGCATGGTCTAAAAGTTGCCGGGTGGTCCCGAAAACCTTTGAACAGGCAGGGCAAGTCGTAGTCCCTGCTGGGATCACGGACGCCACAGGTTTCCGATGGCCGTGAACCCTCATCCTGTGCGTAGCCACGGCTTTGCTGCCACTGAAAAGTTTGGCACACTCCGGGCACGGAACTGTAAGGGGCTCTGTGGAATCGTCGGCAAAAGGCGCCGATCCGATCGTGACGTCCCGGGCGAGACGTTTCCACTTCCACCAGTCGGCGGCTATGAATTCTGTCCACGCGGCTGCTCCTTTTGCTGAGCTTGGGTCCCTAGCACATCTAGGTCGCGCCGGGCTGGTGGCGGCGCGAGCCTGGGAATCGCCTGGAGGTCGGCGAGAACTCGTTGAGACCGGGGAGGGGGAGGCCGAGTGAGGCAGGAGGAGGGCCTGCAGTGCAGGGAAGGGCTTACAAATCAAGCTGGATATGTACAACAGGCGGTGCCGCCTGAGTATATTGTCTACAGAAGGCAGCTGTAATTTCTGCAGAAGCGCCAAATCGCTTAGGCGTGGTTTCCCAGGGATTGGAAAACGGCTCTCATGGGCTATCCTGCGCACGGCGCGCAAGTAAAATGTGCGCAACCACTGTATGTGAGTGCGCGAAGGCGTCCACAGCTCAGAATTGTAGAATAGCACTGAAAGGACGAGAGACCGGAAAAGTCGCAGCCTGAGCTGCACGCTCATGCGTTGCGCTGCGAAGACTTGCCGCACCAAGCTATGGTACACCGCGGATGCTTTCCGCAGGCGCGCACGTATGTCCAGGGCAGAGGACGCGACACCGGACTGCATGGATCCTAGGTGCTTGTATTCGCTCACAACGGAACACTCGATGCCTGGGATCCCAAGCACGGCCAAAGCAGGGCGCTCGCCGATCATCGCCTCTGCCTTAGCGGCCCGGGCGCCTTTGCCCCTCCACATGATGAGGGCCTCTGACTTGCCAGGCTTCCAATTCAGCTGCATGCCGTGCTTCTCCATGGTGGTGTGCGCCGCTTCGGCCACCAGGGCGACGTTGCGGGTGAGGCTCGCGTTGTCCTCGCCCACGATCAGCACGGTCTCGTCGTCGACGTACGTGACCTCCCAAACAGGCACGGTGTGCGTTGGGAAGGCGCCAGGCTGGTGGGCCCACGGCGGGCCGCTGGGCTCGCATTCCGCAGCGAATGTGAGGTTGAGCTTGTCAAGCGCTGCTCGAAGCTCTTCCAAGGCCACGCTATACACAATATTGAAGATCAAGGCGCCGAAGCGGCAGCCTTGGCGGGATCCCCTCGTCGTCCGGATGACCCTGCCCTCTGGGGAGAGTGCGAACCATGTGTCTTTGTGCAGGTTGGCCACTAAGCTGATGAGGTGTTCGGGGACATCGATCTGCTGCAAGATGTCACCGTGCTGCATGAGGTAGTTGGCCAGATGCGAGGCTGCCGCGCCTTCAACCCCTACCTGCTCTAGTTGCGCGGCCAGGTCCGCCTCGGTGGTGGAGCGGGCTACAAGGTGGAAGGCCATTTCGCGTACAAGCTTGTCGAACGCCTCCGTGAGGTCAAGGAACAAAATGGCCGACGGCCTCTTCTCGATGGCGGTCCTCTCGACGAAGCTCGACACGACGTGGTGGCCACGGTTGGCCCCAGAGCACGCCACCCCACCGCACTGCTGCGGAGGTAGCGCTTCCTCCACTCGGCGCTGAACGGAAGGGTACAGGACACCTGTGAAGATTTTCGAAGTGTGATCGCCCACCAGGAGTCCACGGTACATGTCGCACTCTGCCGTGTCGCCCTTTCCTTTGAAAAGTTTGGCTAACCGTCGTCCGCGCCATGCCACTGGGACGTCATTCGTCTGGATGACGTCTTCGATGATCTCTGCTATGTAGTCGGCTGCGAGGTCGCCGGCAGCCTTCCACACCTCTATTGGCAGGCCGTCGGGGCCTACCGCCTTGTCGTCCTTGATGGTCTGAAGGAGTTGGCTCACTCTGTAACGCACGTTGCCCACCTCAGCGAAGGCGTCACGAACGAGTTGCGGATCGGGCTGCGGAGGAGGCGAAGGCTGCGGGACGTCCTGCTGCAGCTCGCCAATTAGGAGCTCTGCGAAGAAGGTCTCCCACCGCTCCTTTGCCTGCGCCTCAGAGACTGCGAACTCACCGTTGGCCAAGCGAGTGTCTGGCAACGTGGACGGAGAGAAACCTCCGAGTCGACGAACGATCGAGTAGGTCTTGCGGAGGTCTCCAGCTGCTGCCGCCTGGTCGGCCTCGCAAGCCAGGGTAGTCCACTGGTGCTCGCGATCAGCGACCAACGCTTTGGCCTTCTCGGCTTGGGCGAGTCGCAACTGATGCAGTGATCGGGTTTCCGCCACTCGGGCGCTGTGAAGCTGGGCGTAATGTAGTCCACGACGGCGCTCGTCGTCCCGTGGTGCATTCGACGCGCTGTGCAATCTCCAGGCAGAGAAGCACGCACGCAGGCGCGCACTCCGGCAGTGCCAGCGAGCGTCGCGCAGGGCATCCTTCAATGTCCATGCGCGCTGCATGAGTTGCCACGCGTGCTGGCTAATCCAATGCTTGCGAGGTGCGTCACCATCTGCTGCAAAGATGTCCTGTACCAGCTCCGTCATGGCCAGGTTCAGCTGCTGCAATTTCTCGTGCGGGCGGCCCCGCAACGCGACATTCTGATCCCAAAGCCGCTGCTGCAGTGCGAGTTGCAGATGTGGATCTTTCAGCTTGGCTCTGCAAATCTTTGGGGTCTTTGCTTCACGGGGCCGGTACCGCTTGTTGACGACCAGGGAAGCGCTGACCGGCCAGTGGTCGACGGAGGTGGCAAAACTCATGTCCATCTCCAAGTGCGTGTGCACGTCCCTGGCGGTGGGAGCAAGACCCTTAGACACTATAAGATAGTCGATACGGTGCTGGTGCCCAAGAGTCGCCTGCCATGTCGGTCGGTAGTCCTGCCTCGTCGTGCTGACCACATCCATGTGGAACTCGGCCACAGTCTCGCGCAGGCGCGTGCCCGACTCGCTCTCCTGGTCACGTGAAGAAGCCCCCACGCCTGGTGAAGCGAAAGGGCCAAGCCAGGCATTGAAGTCACCCGCGATCACATAATCAACCCCTGCTGACTGCGATGCAATGAGGTCCTCCAGGCTGGCGAAGAAGTTCTCCCTTTCCTCTGGTGGCGCCTGCTGCGTAGGCGCGTGCACGTTGACAAAAACAAGTCGCCGATGCTTGGCCGATGCCTGAAATCAAGCGAAAGTGCGTGGACACGGTCAGTTACCTGCGTGACGAAGGAAACCGACTTGGCCAGATGGTGCCGGACCCAGATCTGATTGCCTCGAGCGCGGCAGGGCCCAACACCAGGGAACACGTACATAGTGTAGTGCTCGCCCTTCAGGCTGGTCTGGCTGCTCATCCGCCCCTCCTGAACAGCCACGATGTCGAAACCAGCGTGGTGAAACATACATTCAAGCTCTGCCATGCGTCCAGTGCACGTCAAGCCCATTTGAGCGTGCACAGCCCGCAGGGCGGTGATGGGCCCTGCCGTAGTAACGTTGGCAGTGGCCACTTTAATTTGGGTATTTGTGCATCTAGCCGCCTTGTCAGAGGCGGCATTCGCAGCACCATGGGGGTCAGGCCCTCCCGAGCCCCCGGCTGCGTGAGCATCCCCTGGAGGCGCTATTGGGGGGTTGCCAGGGACGAGCCTGGAGCACCCAGCTGGGGCGTCTCGACGATGTGCTTGCCGAGAAGACGCCTGCGGTTGCCCTTGCCCTCGGTCCACTGCGCGACCTCCGTCTGCCGCGTGCACTCCATAGCACCATCCTCCAGCGGCGGCAGCTGAAGCGGTGGCGTCTCGCTCATATCGTCGTCCTGCTCCTCCTCCCAACTGTCGTCCTGCTGCTGGTCCTCCTCCTCCTCCTCCTCCTCCTCCTCCCAATTGTGCCCAGCCGTGTTGGCTGGCTGGCCGAGGAGGAGTAGCTGGTCGGCCAGGGCCGCCGGGTTGGTGAGGTTGCATGCGCGGAGCTGCTGGGCAAAGTACTGCAGCTTGGAGGCGACCCATGGTGGCACAGTCGCCTCGGAAGTCTGCCGAAACCCCGATGGGGTGTGCGACAAGTCCTTGATCAGCTCGGTCTCCATCGCACGCATCTCCTTCTGGCGCCGCTCCAGGAGGTCGGTCTCGTCGGTGATCCTCTTCTGGGCCTCCTTCAAAGCCAGCTGCGCCTTGAGGAGGCGCGCCTCGCCACGCTGGATCGCGCCTCGCAGGCCCGGCCTAGGGGGCGTCCGTCGCGGAGGCGCTGCTTGACCTGCTCGGCCTTGTCCTGGAGGCCCTGCCAAATTTCGGGTGCGGCAGTCTCTCCCAGAGCTGCAATCGCAGACTCCAGCGATGTCAGCTGGGCCTGCAGGGCGGCACGATCCTCCTGCGCAGTCGCCCCAGCCTGCGAGGCCTCGGCAGCCGCTGGTGAGGTCGAGCTCGCGGACGAGAGCGTCGTGTTCATCTCGTCGTTGGCCTGGCGCCCCTTGCCGAGACGCCCCTTGCCGCTGTGCCGGGCTGCCGACGCGGCAGCGGTTCCGGGCTTCGTCCCCGGCGGGCATCCGCGGCACTGGGATCGCGTGTCCCAGTTGTGGAGGCCGCACAGCAAGCACTGCCACGTCATGACTGCAGAGAGAAATAAGGGCAGTGCACAAGCGGATGTAAGAGAGGCCGAAAATCTGTGACACCAGGTCGGACCTTTGGCGGTCCCTGGAGATGCCCCCTGTCGCAAGAGTGCTTGAGTCCTTGAGCAAAAATGGCTTGAGCCAAAATGGCTACGGATGATGATGATGATGATGATGATGATGATGATGATGATGATGATGATGATGATGATGATGATGATGATGATGATGATGATGATGATGATGATGATGATGATGATGATGATGATGATGATGATGATGATGATGATATGATGATGATGATGATGATGATGATGATGATGATGATGATGATGATGATGATGATGATGATGATGATGATGATGATGATGATGATGATGATGATGATGATGATGATGATGATGATGATGATGTGGGCACCTTCTCCTCCCCCTGACCTGCTGGCGACGGCCCGCTCCATCGCCGCCGCCGCGGGGCGCGCGCGCGCCGCTCCCTGGCCGCCGGGCGCGGCCCGGGGCAGCTCCTCGCGGGCCTGTTTTCCACCACCACCACCACCACAGGTTGGAGGGGGAGGGAGTCCTCCTCCTCCTCCTCCTACATCTCCTCCTCCTCCTCCTCCTCCTCTCCTCCTCCTCCTCCTCCTCCTCCTCCTCCTCCTCCCCCTCCTCCTCCTCCTATCCTCCTCCCCCTCCTCCCTCCTCCTCCCCCTCCTCCCCCTCCTCGTCCTCCTCCTCCTCCTCCTCCTCCTCCTCCTCCTCCTCCTCCTCCTCCTCCTCCTCCTCCCCCTCCTCCTCCTCCTCCCCCTCCTCCCCCTCCTCGCCCTCCTCCTCCCGCCCCCCTCCAACCTGCGGTGGTGGTGGTGGTGGAAAACAGGCTCATCAGCTCCGCCGCCGCCGCGGGGGCGAGCGAGCGCCCCGCGGCCGTGGCGCGGGACCCGCCGTCCGACGCGGCGTGGGAGGCGCGCGACATCGGGAGCCGCAGGCTCTCGCCGGGGGAGCGGCCTCCAAGACGAGGCCAGGACGAGGAGAAAGTCGGGCGAGGATCAGTCGGGAATCGGGGATGGACAGGACCCCCTTTTGCAAAAGTCGGGCAGGATAAGTCAGGAAAAGTCGGGGAGGATAAGTCAGGACAGAAGGACGAGGTTAAAGTCGGCGAGGATAAGTCAGGATAAAGTCGGGCGAGGATGAAGTCGGGCGAGGGTAAGTCGGGAATCGGGGAGGGACAGGACCCTCTTTCGTAAAACGTGGTTAAACTGCAAACAACCTCGGGCCCAAGCCTGGCGGGCGCAGGCCTGGAAAGTAACGGCCGCGGCGCCCTCTCGAGAACCGAAAACGGACAATTCGCCAATCGACGTGTCAGGGTGGGGGTTCTGTCCACTCCCGAGGGAACCTCTGAGATGCGGCGGCCCTGGAGGATGTCTCGGGCGCAGCGACCTGCTCAGAGAGTTCAAACACGCTCTGAGAGCGTTCCGGAACGCCCTGGAGCGGAGCTATCCTCGTCCTAGCCCCGCCCGAGCCTCGCGGACCTCCGAGCTGATCTGCTCGGGCTGGAGCGCCTCAGGCCAGAGCGGGCTTTCGAGCCAAAGGAAGCTGCGACGCACGGACTCGCGCTGGACTCGCGATCGGCTCACCGTCGGGGCACCACCAGGACGCCATTCCAACACAACTGCGAGTCACAATTGACCATCATTTAACTCGCCCATGACTTGTGCCCGGTACGCATTCGATTCTCACCATCACGATTCGCTTCGGGGCCTACGGGCTGCGTAGGCTTGGGATTCCTGCTCCCTGTAGCGGATCCCGTTCCCAACTTTACGGTAAAAAAATGTTTGAACATAATGCGCTCTTACATGACCACAAGGATTGCGCATGGTTGCTGCTGGTGTCGCCGCTGCTCTTCGCGAGGCAGGTGTTGCGAGTGCTTTCGCTACTACTGGGATGGACAAAACCCCCTTTAGCAAAACGTTGTTTAGTAAAAACGACCTCGGGCCCAAACCTGTCGGGCGCAAGCCTGGAAAATGACGGCCGCGGTACCCTCTAAAGAATCGAAAACGGACAATTCACTAATCGGTGTGTCAGGGTGGGCGGTCTGTCCACCCCCGATTCACGATTGCGTCGTCCCTTCTGGCGGGCTGGAGGCCTCTGCTGGCTCAGTTGCAGGTCGAGCGCCCTGGCCATCCAGAAAGTGGCGAGCCTCCCGAGGACGGCGCCCCTCCCAGTGGGCCAAAAGGCCACGACCCGCTCAGTGGGCCAGTCACGGGCAGGGCGCCCTGAGCCTGGAAGACTTGGGGCCCTTAAGAGAACGACGCCCCTCAATCCCAAACCCCCTCGAGCAATGAAAAAATCACGACGGGAGGTTTTCCTAATTTTCGACCTCCGGGGGCCCTCACCAGGCCTCGGGAGCGTCAAAAAACGACTCAGGATGCAAAGCCAATCGTGGGGAAAGGGTCGGGACCTTCTCGGGGTCGACGTGATGAAAAAAACACTTTCCCTGGGACCTGTACACCGCGAGTCGTTTCTGAGAGTCCTGGGGCCCGGGAAGGGCCCCCAAGGCCGAAAACGACGAAACACCTCCGCTCTGTATGACGTCAGCACGTGTGGATCCATATTCCACACTCTCGGCGACTCCGAAAGATATTGTTTGCAGAGGGTGTGGCTTGCAACCGGCACCCTGGAGGGCACCCTGGGGGGCGAGCGTGGACCTCGACAAAGCTCTTAGCCGCGCGAAGCGGCCCGACGAGGACAGCGTCGTGTCCCCCAGGTCCCACCGGCGCCGATCGCAAACCACACCCTAGAGCAACCGTACCCGTTGTTCAGGAGAGCTCCGTCCTGACGGAATTAGCCCAGACGGAGGCCGAGCACTCAGTAGTACCCATAAACCCCGGGATCGTGATTTTTCCACAACGTAGACTCCCAGAGATCTGAGAGAGCACGTTTCACGGGCGCTTGCCTTGAGAACATTCGGCGGCGCGTTTCGAACCGGGGGGTGGGCCCCCCCAAACACTCGGCGCCGTCGATCAAAACCAAAGGGGGACACCCCTCCCCCGCAAACGCCCCCTTCCCGAACCTCCCTCCCCCCCCCCTCCCAACGGGGGGTGGGGTTCAAACCCAGCCCCCCCCCCTCGGCGCCAGCGCCGGCGCCGGCGCTGGCGGCCGCCAGCAGCGCCGACGGCGGGGACGCAGCGACGATGACCAGAGGCAGGAGGAGGAGGAGGAGGAGGAGGAGGAGGAGGAGGAGGAGGGGAGGAGGAGGAGGAGGAGGGGGAGGGGAGGAGGAGGAGGAGGAGGAGGAGGAGGAGGAGGAGGAGGAGGGAGGAGGGGGGGGTGTTCAACCCCCCCCCCTGGCGCTGCGCCGGCGCTGGCGGCAGGCCAGCAGCGCCCGGCGCCGGCGCCGGCGACGGCGGGGACGCAGCGACGATCACCACCACTACCACCACCACCACTACCACCACCACCACCGCCTCAACCCACCACCACCACCACCAACCCACCCACAACCACCACCACCACCACAGCCACCACCACCACCACAACCACCACCACCACCAACTCACCATCACCACCACCACCACCACCACCACCACAAAAACCCACCACCACTACCACCACCACTCTACCACACCACCACCACCATCCACCACCACTACCAGCAGCACAACCCACCACCAACCAAACCACCACACCACCACCACCACCACCGCCACCACCACCACCAGCACCACCTCCACAAACCACCGCCACCACCACACCCACCACCACCACACCCACAAAACCACACCACACCACCACCCAAAACCAACACCCCCACCACCACCAACACCAACACACCTCACCACACAACCACCCACACCACCAAACCAACCACCACACCAACACCACCGCACACCACCACCACCTACCACCACAACCACCACCACCACCACAACAAAACCACCACACCACCACCACAACCACCACCGCCGCCACCACCACCACCAGAACCCACCACCACCACCACCACCGTCCTCGTCGACGCTCCCCGCCGCCGCCGCCCGTCGCCGCAGGCGCCGGCGCCAGCCCAGAAAAGTGAATCGTCGTCGACGCCGCCGCCGCCAGCCGCCGCCGACGCAGGCGCCGGCCCGAGGAGAGGGAGAGAGGAGAAGCAAGGGAGGGGGGGGGGGTTCGAACCCCCCCCCGACACCTCCGTCACGGACCGGCGGGATGTTCGAACCCCCCCCCTCTTTCATCCAGGGGGGACGGGGGGGGTCTGGTTCCAACCCCCCCCCCCAAGGAACCACAGAACGCGCTCTTTCAGAGACCTGGACCCCTTGGTTTTCATCCCGAATCGTTGTTTGACGGCCCCGAGGCCCAGCAAAGGCCACCGGGGGCCGAAATTACGGAAAAACCTCCCGTCGCGATTTTTTCGCAACGCGGGGGGTGCCAGGTATTCCGCCCGGACTCAGCATCCTCCGAGATTTGCAGTCGCAGACGTTCGTCCCACCCCAGCGTGAAGTCGGGCCTGTCCCCCTACAGGGTGATTTTGGGCGACAGATTTGTTTTTTTTTTTTTTTTTTTTTTTTTTTTAAAAAAAAAAAAAAAAAAAAAAAAAAAAAAAAAAAAAAAAAAAAAAAAAAAAAAAAAAAAAAAAAAAAAAAATGTTTAACTATTTTCGAATTTTCCCCCTGTAGAGGGGCAGGCCCGACTTAATCTCCTCCTCCGCCTCCTCCTCCTCCTCACCCTTCCTCCTCACCCTCCTCCTCCGCCTCCTCCTCCTCCTCCTCCTGCCCCCCTAAGGGGCGTCCAAGAAGGGGGCGTCCAAGGGGCCCGCGGCGTGGCCGCTCCAAGGAGGCACCGCGCCGCGGAGAGGCCACACCGCCCGCCCCCCCCTTGGAGGGGCATCCCGGGGAGGCCTCCAGGGGAAGGGGGCCATCCCTTGATTCCTCCTCCCTCCTCCTCCTCCTCCTCCTCCTCCTCCTCCTCCTCCTCCTCCTCCTCCTCCTCCTCCTCCTCCTCCTCCTCCTCCTATTCCTCCTCCTCCTCCTCCTCCCTCCTCCTCCTCCTCCTCCCCTCCTCCTCCTCCTCCTCCTCCTCCTATTCCTCCTCCGTCTCCTCCTTCGTCTCCTCCTCCTTCCCCTCCTCCGTCTCCTCCTCGTCCACATCCTCCTCGTCCCCTTCCTCCTCCTCCCTCCTCCTCGTCCTGCTCCCTCTCCTCATCCTCCTCCTCCTCGGGAGCAATCCCTTGATCGAGCAGGGGATCGACTGCAGAATCGCTGTGCCCCAGAAGGAACAGTCTCGTCGACTGCACGGGAGATACTCAGAGCTCTCTGTAGGTGTACGAGCTTTCTAGGCTTTCGTTTTAGATTCGACGGGGAAGATCAGGTGTGGGGGTAAATCGATTCTGTTTTTTTTCGACGCCGCCGGCTAGAGAACCCAAACTCCATGAATAACCACGCAAGCGAGCACTCCAGTGACTACCGGTGGCACCACGCAAGCAAACTCCATGAATAACCACGCAAGCGAGCACTGGTGCCACTGGGGTAAATCGATTATGTAGTCGATCCCATATTCGACTTCTGAGAAAGCCCCCCCAGACATGCTCGCGAATGGAGCTTCCGGTCGGGGATCTACTGACCCGGGTCCATCCAAGGACCCGTGCCGGTCGGGCCTCGCAGGATCCTGCAAAAAGTCCTGCAGGATCCTGCACCCAAGCCCGGATCAATGCGACCCTGGCCCTGCAGGATCCTGCAAGATCTGGCGCTCTGTTAGAGGCCTCCTAGGTGGGGTCGGAGTAGATGGGGTCGGGGGATCGCGCCGCATCGCCGATACATCGGCGCATCGCGGTGTATCGGCTATGCATGGGCGACGCACTGGCGATGCATCGTCGGCGTGGGCGATGAATCGGCGACATCGACGTGAAGCAAATCGGGCTCCACATCGAGCCGCATCGGCAAACGGCGCGATCCTCCGACCCCATCGACTCGGACCCCATCTAGGAGGCCTGAGGAGGCCCAGATCTGAGTGACCCCCGCGTGCATGGACCCCCGGCTCTTGAGCCCCGAAGGCGGCCCCTGGGGGCGGAGGAGGAGGAGGAGGAGGAGGAGGAGGAG